TGGACAGGGAGGGTTTCTTCAAGATTGGGGGGCTCATGGTATAAGGTCAGCAGAAGGGCGGGGCAGCAGCGAGCGGGAGAGAATATTCCTGGGCCAGAAGCACATGGAGGAGCGAGATGCTGTGTGCACCAGGGCAGGGCCTGGGGTCAGGACATAGGAGACAGCCTAGCGGGGCGGAGACGGGGGCCACCAGCACGGAGGCCTCAGGAAGCTCCCCTGACCCTGTGGCTGATCCCCACAGGGAGAGCTGGGGGAGCCCTGCCTGGGGAGGGGACCCTGTCCCCCAGCCCCCCCAGCTGCTCAGTGAGCTGCCCTTTTCTGTCCCCAGAGCCGAGAGCTACAGACGGTGGATTCTCCCCTGGAGCAACCAGAGGGCAGGTGAGCGTCGGGGCTGGGGTGGCTCTGTAGGCATCGGGGGCCTGTCTTGGCACCTGTTTTCCCTCTACATTTGGGGAGACTTGCTCTGAGGCAGTGGAGCTCGGGACAGGATGGGGGAGGAGAGGAGGAAGGGTCTGGGGTTTCTCCTGATTTCTTCACAGGGTGAGGCAGGTCTGGTCTCCTGGACCTGAGAGGGTTAGAGCACGTGTGCGGGGGGTGGGGGGCCCACTTAGGGGGTTTCCTCACTCCCCGGATTCACTGGAGTCTGACGTCACCTTGTGCTCTGCCCGCAGCCCCCTGACCCAACATGAGGACAGACAGGTGGAAATGCCAGTGTAGCGGGAAGGCTAAGGTAAGCCTCTGGTTTTGGATCCCTCTCCACCCCTTAAAATTAGCTCCGTCCTTTTCCCTCACCCTGACATGGAGATACAACCAACTCCCCGGAGGCCCACACACTTGGCTCGCACCCCTCTCTCCTCTTCCCACCATCACCAGGGCCGCCAACCTCTCCTTTCCGGGTCCTCAGGGCCCCTCCGTCCCCTCCACCCTGTCTGAGGCCGGGCCCATTCCCTCTGCATTGGCAGCGGCTTCTTCTTCTTCTTCTTAATAATAATAATTCTTTATTGTTGAAAGTATTACATATGCCCCATCCCCGCCCCCATTATGCATTGGCTTCTTATTCCTGCCCTGAGCTTCTGCTCTTGCTGCCACTGCCCACACCAGAGCCCCCAGATCCTCCTGTCAGGCCTTTACCCTCCTGGAGGGTTCCAGTGGCCGTGCATCGCCAGCCACTTCCAGCCACCCTCTCCGCCTGGCCCCCAAACTCCCCGGCAGCTGCTGCTCTGAGTCCCTCTTGCCGGTTTCCGTTCTGCTTGCACCCTGGTCTGACCCTCCCCCCAAGCCCAAATGACCCCCCTCCCTTTTAATTCATGGAGCCATAGAGCCTTAGTGTTGGAAGGGCTCTCAGCGGTCACTAGGCCGAGCCTCCCACCCCAAAGGGGCCTCCCTTCTCTGCCTCCCAGCGTCCGATCACACACTCGGGGAGCCAGGCAAGCTCCCTGCCATATAAGGTAGCACCCACAGCACCCACAGCACCCACAGCACCGTGAGGAAGCCCTTCCTCAGGCAGGTCCAGCGGCTTTTCCGCCACCTCCCATCCCCCCGGGATGATCCTCCCTCTACTGTCCTGAGAGCCCTCTCGCACCCAAAGCCAGCTAGCCAGCTCCCCTTTAAGACTTCTCTAAGCTCAATGTGGCCAAGGCCCTCAAACATTCCTTATATGATGTGGTTTTCAGACCCCTCACCATCCTGGTCGCCCTCCTTTGGACACACTCGTTTGTCAATGTCCCCTGCCAGTGTGGCGCCCAGCCCTGGACACAGTGCTCCAGACGTGGTCTGACCAGCTCAGAGTGCATGGGACTGTTGCCTGCCTTGATCTGGACACTGTTCTGCTATGCGCACAGATTAAGTTTGCATTAGTTTTTTGAACTTTTTTTTTTTTTTACAACTGCATCATATTGTTGTCTCATATTTAGCTTGTGGTCTGTTAAAAGCCCTAGTTCCCTTTCCCATAAACCTCTGTCCTGTACTTTGGGCAGATTCACTGTTTTAACCAAAGATTAGTTTGTATTCATCCTTGTGAAAACTGCCCTGTCGGTGTCTGCCCATCGCCCAAGCCCACTGAAGTGGCCCCCATCCCAGTCCTGTCTCCCTGGCCCTCCCGAGTGTGTCTCCCGCACAAGGACGGGTGCCTTCTGGGGTCTTCGCCCACGTGGATAGAGATGTGACCCTCCTGACTCCTTGCTGGCTCGCGGGCCAGGCGGCCCCGTCCTCCTCCCTTCCCTCCCCTCCGCCCACAATCAGCCACAGGAAGTCTTCCTTCCTGATATCTCCTCTGGTCCCTCCTGCTGTTCATACCCCTCTGCCCTCTTGTATTTGGTTAATACTGTATCGATTTGCACTTACTTGGATGTTGTTTTTATACATTTCAGTTCTTGTTTTATGTGTATGTGGACATCCCGCACCCGGAATCAGGCTGTAAGCCCCTTGCGGGCAGGGACCGTGTCTTCCACTGATTTGGCATTTCTTTTTCTGCCCCGGGTTCTCATACAAAGAGGGCTTCTCCGCACGTGGCCAAGAACTCAATAAACATCGACCAACTGGCTTCAGGGCTGACAGACCCATGGACTCTGGCCAGCTGCCTCTAGTTAACCAGCCTTCTGGCTAACCCGTTAGCCAGCTCACTGACTCTGACCAGCTGGTAACCGCCTAGTTGGTTACTTGTTGACTGGGGAGCTGATTGGCTGACTGACTGGCTGGCCAGGGAGTTGGGGAGACCTATCGAGTTTCACCCCATGCCCAACGCGAGCCAGCGCTTAGGGCCTTCCCAGGTGGAGGGCACCGGGCTGGGCCACTCCTAGGAGATGGGGGATCTGACGAGTGTTCCACACCAGGGAGCCTGTTCAGAAAAGAGCAAAGATAACACACCTGGGACCCTGAGGTCTGCCTGGTGGGTGTGGAGAGTGGGCCAGAGGGACCCTGGCAGGCTGGTCTCCAGGTCAGGCACTCGGAGTCCCAGGGAGAGTCAGGGCCAGCGCTGGCCTGATTGCCACTATGACAGGAGAGGGGGTGAGGGCCCTCAGAGAAAACCACCCCAGCCCTCCCTGTCGGAGCTCGCCCGCTCGGTCCTTCTTCCCTGTGGCCCAGCAGTGCCCAGTGTGGCTCATGTCCAGTCAGGGCTCCTCCCTCCTGTCCCTCCGGAGCCTGGGAATGGGCTGGGAGCCAGAGGGCTGGTCCCATCTCTCGCCTTGCCCATCACAGCCTTGGCCAGTGGGGCCTATGATGGCCTGGGAGGGGAGCTCCACACAGGGCCCAAAGTCAAGCTGCTGGCCGGAGTCCAGGGGATTTCTGGTCTGAGAACAAAGCGTTCTGAGGATGCCGGGCCTGGGGACAGGCTGGGGGCAGGGTGGGGAGGGAGCCAGGCCCTCACTCCCATGGAAGATGCAGGGAGGCCCATCCGGAAGGAGGCTGCTTAGGGTGAGCATGTGATAGGGAGGGATTTCCTTCCCCTGGGACCACCTCTGGTGCTTCCTCTTCAGTTACTTCTGCTCTGCTGTCCCCGATACGGTGTGTGCCCCTCTGTGGTGAATGCCTGCAGGTGGACACGAGACCTCTCTCTGCTAGAGTGAGCAGGGCTCACCCTCGGCTCATTGGGCCGAGGCCAGTGACATGGTGTTGCCCGAGGAGGGGTCTAAGGGCACTCGAATGCCCCCCTTCCCTCCCTCAGACCCCTCCGCTCGAGCAATGCCTTGCACCCCTGCTTAGACCCCCAACAGGCCCGACCCCTCCTGCTGTGGTCCTTGCTCCCCCAGGAGGAGGCAGGAGGTGAGGGCAGTCTGGCCCGCGGCTTGGACCCCTGCCAGAGAAAGCGGCCTGGCCCTTGCGGTGTCTGGGTGGCCGGGAAGGCGAGGGCAGGGACCGGGGACGGGAGGAAGTCCTCCCTACAGCACCAGCCCACAGGAACGCCGACGCCCCCACGCATGTCCTCGGCGACCCCTCCCTCGCTCCCACTCGCTGACGGGCCTCTCTTTCTCTCTCCCACAGCTGGGCGCACAGGACAGTCTCTCCACGGCAGGAGATGTGACGGGGCGTCCACCCGCCTCCTCCTCCGCCATCCTCCTGGGAATGTGGCCTGCCCACCCTGAGAGCTCCTGCCGACCAGGACTAGGCCAGAGCAGCTGGGCTGGCCCCTCCACCCTCGACCCCCAGACTCTGGACTGACTCGGAGAGGGCCGGCGGGTGCCTCATGCTGCTGATATTTATCGTGGGCCCTGGAGGCTCCCATCTGCTTGAGGGGGGCTGGCGAGCCCGGAGAGTACTCTCTGCCCCTGGGGCTGTGCCCTCCTCCCGCCCCCTCCAGCCAACACCTGGGCAGGGACCCAGAGGCCCGTGGCTGTGGACAGCAGGGTGGGCGCTGAGGAATGGAAGAACCCTTGCGCCCAGGGATGGGTCCCTGCCCCAACGAGTAAGCACATGTCACAGAGAGATGCCTGAGATTGGCGGGGCGGGACAGCGTCAGCTGGTTTCCTGGAAATGTGGGCGGCCCAGAAGCCGGGACTAGAAGGCTTGGACGAGAAGGCTTGCCTGCCGCGCCGACAGCCCTCCACTGGCAATGCTGGTGCCAGGCAGAGAGGGGAGGCCAGCCCTGCCCTCGGGACCTGCTGGGCTCTCGATGCCAAGGTGAAGCCCAAGGCCCTCCAGAACCTGCCGGAGCTGCCCCGGGCGGCCGTCCAGGGGCGCCCCTCGCGAAGGAAGCCATTGCACTGTGAAGACTGGACCTGCCTGCTGTACAGCTCCGATGCACATCTGTCCGCCCTCCGCCCTCCAGCCTCCCCAGCTTCTGCACTGACCGCCCGAGCCAGCCTCGCCCGTCCCATCGACGGAGGGAGCCCCTGAGCCCTGACCTTCCGCTGATCTGGCCTCTGACTCCCTGGGGTGGATGGGGCGGGAGAACGCCTGGGCTGCACCAGAGCAGGTCTCTAGGCTGCTGTTGGCCCAGGTTTCTGCATTTTGCACTTTGACGTTCCCAAGAGGGAAGTGACTAGTGGAAGGGAGAAGGGTGGGGAGGGCAGAGACCGACACGGGGAGGGTCTTTGAAATGATGGGTATGCCCCCGATGCTGGGGGAGGCGTCCACGCCCTGACCCCTGCCGTAGCCACAGCTGCAAGGCCGCTGCCCGCGGGCACCCGGGGCTGAGCGGGCTGTCCCTGTGAGGGGCCTGGTAGGCAGTGATACCTCCAGTCTCACCCCACGCACCCACCCAGGACCACAGTCTCTGTAACCAGGCAAGCCAGGGTGGGGGAGGGACCGAGCGTCTATTGCCAAGTCTGCCTTGAGGACCTCCGCTTCCTGGGCCAGCCCCCGGCTGCAGCTCCAGAGCTGGGCCGCAGGTGGCAGGGCTGTCAGTTGCCCTTGGTCCCCCTGTGCAGCTGCGTCCCTTCTCTCCTGCTGTCCTGGGCCCTCCATGGACAGACCACCCTGCTGGCTGCTGGGCAGGGCCCCCCACCTTCCCTTCCTGCTCTTGAAAGTGAAGGTCACTGGTCCCCGACAGCTGAGGGAGGAGCAGAGGACTCCCCCGTGGGGCTCGGCCTCCTAGTCATAGACTCTATTTGATGCCAGGAAGTATGTATTTAAAAGTGGAAGGAAAAAACAACACAGGAAAAGGCATTCCTGCTCCACCCCCACCCCTTAAACATATAGTATTTTCAGAGTCAAGAAAGCAAAGAGCTTCCTTCCGAAATGGGTTGGATTTGCTTTC